TTGGCAAGTTCTTCTAGAAGCTTCGTCCGTCTTGCCCGTTAAGTCACGACGCATGCGTGTTTGAATCTCACGTCGCGCGTGCACCGTGCGTGATCTTCGGGCATTCGCCCCATCCTTCGCGTGCTCACTACGCCCAATTTTGGCTCCGATTAAATAAATGATAAATAACGGCCCAATAACCAAGCTGAAAAATACATGATAAATAAATATAGAAACAGGTTCTCAAGAATGATCACCTAAAAGCCGACCGGGTCGCCAGATGAGTCCGCCCGCTACCGAGTCGAACAGAGTTCGAAGTAATTGGATGGGACATACATCATAAAGAAGCAGCCTCTGGTAGATGTCATGATTGCCGAGGAGACTGATGTCAGTCGGAACCGTCAAAAGTCATAAGCGGGTCCCACGATGATTATCTCGCATTAAATAATAATGTATTATCTTTTATTTATTTAATCACCTACTTGTAAAAAGTGAGGGATGTGTATATACTATATATGAGAGGGGGAGGAGAGAGAAAGGGACCTTCTTCCTTTCATTTTTCATTTTTTTCTCCCAACTACACAAAAGAAAGAGGAGAAGACTCTCCCATGAAATACAATGAGCACCATTTTAATTATCTTGTTAATTAATTTTATTCAAGAAATTCGACTCGTATTTGACAAGTTGATTGTCCGATTTTTTGACATCTAACACTAATAATTACCAAATAACTAATACTAAATAAAAACTCGCGGCTAAACTAATTTAAATAAATTACCTAAACTAATTAAAGCCTAATCTCTCTAGACTAACTTACGCTACCATAATACATATATCCTAACAATTTAATAAATACTAACAAATCTAATACCTGTCAACAATTAAATTATCTACCTAAAATAATACCTAAACAACTACCAATGCAAAAAAAAAAAAAAAATGCTACAAGTACATAATAAATGTACATAGAGGTGTACATAACACTCACATGGAGTGGGGTCCACTTGATTTTTTATTTTTTGTAGGACCCACTTAATGTGAGTGTTATGTACACCTCTATGTATAGTATTATGTACTTATAGCATTTCCCAATAAAAAAATAGCTAGTTATCTACTAGGCCACGTAACTAAAAATAATTAAATAATAATTATCTAAATAATAATTAATCTGATAATAATCTTCTAGAATTCTTGGCCAGTTCTTCTAGAATCTTCTTCCGTCTTGCCCGTTAAATCATGCCGCATGCGCGTTTGAATCCCACGCCGCGCGCACTGTGCGTGATCTTCGGGCGTTCGCCCCATCTTCGCGTGCTCGCATAGCACGAACTTTCCTCGTGTGTGTCCACGGCTCGCGTCTCCTTCGTCGTGCTTGCGCGCCTCGTATTCGAGCCCACGCTCGTCATTTTGGCCATGTGCGCATTTATTCGCGCCTCGTTCGATCGCAAATCCCCTCTCGACCCTTGGCATCCAAGAGCGTCGGAACCTCCATTCTCATCGTGGGCCACGTTCGATGTCACAGCTGGACTTGGGTGTTGTTGCGGTTGCGCATGAGCCTTTTTGGCCTGGTTGGTGCTTAGTGGAGGTCAACCATGGCGAGGGGAGACAACAGAGTCTACGTGTATGTGTGTGTTTGTGTGAGAGAGAGAGAGATGGGGTGGGGTGGGGCAATGTGATATAGTATTTGTGAAAGATAAAATGTCAAATATATCCTTCATTAGTATATAATCTTGACTATTTTTTAGTTGTTGGTTATATTAGATTTATAATTACTAGTACGACACCCGCGTACTACACGGGTTGTTTGAAAAAAATACTATAAAACATAAAATAATATAAAAAACACATGTTGTCATATAAAAGTGCAAAAATAGAAAATACCAAAGTTGATATTATTCAAATTTTGAAAAATTTCTTTGTACATAACATTAATAGTTTTATTTACAATTTTTTCATCCTTATCGCAATACAGAATTTTCAAGCCTCTCCTACCTTTTCTAGATAATGCAACATAAAGTTGACCATGACTGAATACAGAGTTAGGCAAGTACAATCCGACGTTAGACAATGTCAATCCTTGACTCTTATTAATAGTCATTGCAAAACAAACCATAAGTGGGAATTGTCTTCGTTGAAACTTGAAAGGCAATCTCACATCAAAAGGAGTCAATAACATCTGCGGAATAAGTAATTTACTCCCAATATTCCTTCCTGATAGAACCTTGGCCTCAACAATGCGATCTCCAAGTCGAGTGATGACTAACCTGGTGTCATATACAACCCATAAAATAAATAATGATTATTTATTAAAATTATCAGTTCTTCTTTCTAATTAAAAAGTACAAACATTACGATAATGACAGATAATAAATTAGTTAAGATTTAGGAATGTATAAATGCCAAAAAAAAAAAAAATGGTCGAGTGATTACTCACCTGGTGCCATTATACAACCCAGAAGATTGATCCATGTTTTGAAGCAGCATTACAGGAATACCAACTTTCAATTTTGAGATGTGATTAAGAGATAAGAATCCTATTTATTTTGGAGTTGCAGAATCCTATTTATTTTGGAATATAATTATACTAATTTTTATCTGAACCAAAAGTCGAAGCATGTAATGTTGCCAAGTAATCTTCCGATGCGTGCGAGCCAGCCATTTAGGCTCAACACGTTTTNATCTTTCTATAATATGCATATAATCTTACTTTCTAAATTTTGTATTTTGTTCATATTATTCCCTTATGTGTTTTAAATATAAATAATATAAATAAAATTAATGATGTATATAAATTAATTTTTAGAATTTAAAATAATAATGTTAATTCATTAGTTATTTATTATAAATTGTTATATATTGTTCTTTATGTATTTTTTTCAATGTCAATAAAATGTATAAGTTTTTCTTTTCATTTTTTATTATACACATTTATTTATTGGTGTAGACTATTATTATTATTATTATTATTATTATTATTATTAATATCTTAGAGAATAAGTTAGGAATTAAATATTATTATAAGAGATCTTGTCTGGACAAGTTAGGAATAGGGTTTATCAGTCTTATTTAAAGGACTCCCTATCTATTGTTTGAGAGGAGTTGATTATTGAAATGAAATAAGATTTGATATCGTGTTTTGGTGTTCTTGAGATTGCGATCTCATTAATATTGTCTCACTCATACGCTTTCCTACATCAATTATTTTATTAACCACCCGTGTAGTACACGAGTATTGTACTAATTAACCATTTATAGCAAAATCATCACCATTTTGATAACTTATTTTCTATTATTGTAAAATATAGTCATCATTTTGATGACTCATGTTCGTTGCCCAGCTGTCCATTGCACACCAAATGATGTAGTTGGTTTCCAATTCGTGTGGCTTAGAGCGATACGAGCCATACCAATGCAGGATTTATTAAAAATTGAAACATGTTCTCGTAAATTTTAGATAATTGATTTTAATAATATTATAACAGGAAATATAATTTTAGAGGAGATCAGATTAAGCAATATTGATATAGGATTCTTAACATTTGATTGGTACAAGTCCGTGTAATTTTTGTGGTTCAATATTTATAGTTTCACACCTATTTAGACGACCTATAAAGTTGGAGGAGATAAGAATTCTATTTATTTTGGAGTTGAAGAACCCTATTTATTTTAGAATATAATTGTATTAATTTTTATCCGAATCAAAAGCCGAAGCATGTAGGCCTTGTTTGGTAATCAGCGGTTAGTTGTTAGCTGTTAGCGGATTGCATTAGCTGTTTTGACCAGCGGATTGCGTTAGCTGTTTTGACCAGCTGATTGTGTTAGCGGTTTGTAAAAGAGTGTTTGGTAAAATTAGCTATTTTTTATTAACCGTAAACATGTAAAAATTACTTATAAGGGCATCCACATACTCTATTGTTCTTATTTATGTAGAACTTATACTTATTTAAGAAATAAAAACAATTAATGTTTTACATATATATTAAAGTGATTTAAAATATAATAAAAAAATAAATAGTAATCAAATAAAAATATTTCTTAATCGAGTAATTAAGTTCACGTCATATACACAAAGCCATGCAATTAATAAAGAAGAAATACACATCTATTCTAATTAAGCATGAAGGTTTGTTTAATTAAAAAGAGTACTAATTATTGATGATAAGAACATGTACATACTAGAATTTTTTACTTATTAATTTTTAATATTTAACAATATAGAGATTAAAATTTACTGTTAATATGAGTAAGACAAACTAAATTAAAATTGGTAAAAATGTGCAAGACAATAAAAAATTAGCAACTTAAAAAAGTGTACAAAAAAAAGTGCAATTCAAAACATGACAAAAATAAATAAATAAATAAATAATAACAAGCAAAAGCAAAGCTGAGTGCTTTAAATGATGTCAGTGTCATGCTAATAACATTAATATTACTCAAAGTGACAAAAGGAAATCAAAAAAAGCAAAACGCTGCAATATGTAGCTTTTTTATTTTTTGCGTTTTGAGCCTACAAGCTAATTTCAAAAGCTGTTTTACCAAACAACAAAAAAACTAATTTTAACTTTTTTCATTTCGGTCAAAACTGCTAAAACAGTTTTTTGGCAAAAACGTTGAAAAACAAACGGGGCCGTAATGTTGCCAAGTAAGCTTCCGAAGTGTGCGAGCCAGCCATTTAGACTCAACACGTTTTGAAATTATATTAAGGAGGATGATCCATTCTTATTTTTTTTTATTTAGAATAATTCTTATTGGAACTTATTCCTATACATACATCAAAAAAGTTTTATAGAGGATGAATATAATTGAATAACTTATAAAATTTTATTCCATTAGCATTACTGCACATGATTGTTATTATATAAGAACACATCTTGATTATTAATTATTTAAAAAAAAATGAAAAACTGAAATTTTTAACCGAGTACGTATAATTTTTCTTAATGACAACACTTTCCCAATACTTATTTGACTATTTAAGTAATTCTTTTAGCTTATCCACAACCCACTTAATTGAGAAAAACCGTTCAGATCTCATTTTCATTATCCACCTGCGTCCTGGGAGTCCACCCCGCCACTGGCTCCGACCACGACCGCGGCTTAACTCCGGTCAGACCGTACACCACCTTCTCCAGGCGGCCAAACACCCTGTACTCGTCCAGAACCCCGTTCCACATCCCGCTCACCGTGCAGTACGTCCCGTTATACGGCGGCCGGTGGTGCGGCATGTGCTCCGACATCTTTATCAGCACCCCGCCGTCCTGGAGCGCCGCCGCCGCCGCCGGAAGCCTCCCCCGCGGCAGGTGGGCCCACGCGTGGAACACCGTGCTCAACATGACGCAGCCGGCGAGCGCGCCGGCGAACGCCAGGGCGGCCGGGTCGCCGGAGAAGAGCAGGTTGACCGTAGCGAGGGAGGCGGCGGCGCCCGCCGCCAGCGTGTAGGCGATTCCGGCGGCCTCGCACCGCGTGATCTCGGAGGGGTGGATGTGGTGGGCCCGGAAGGACTCGATCTGGGACCCGAAGATGGGGGTTCGGGCGCTGCCGTAGTTGTCGACGGCCCAGTGGTAGACGCCGGAGACGAGGTCCGCCACGGCGTAGCCGGCGGCGGCGGCGGCCAGGAGCCGGACAAAAGGGGCGAAGGGCGTTTTGGTAATTTCGGAGAACGTGATGAGGACGGATTTTGCGAGGGTTGTGAAGACTGAGGCGCAGCCAGCGGCGAACCAGGCCCGGTGGGCCCACGTGGCCTTGTAATAGCTCTTGTCCCTAATGGTGGGGCTGTTTTGCTGTTTGGCCATTGTTGTGGAATGTGTGCTGCTAATTAACGTAGAAGCGGCCATTGGACAGCTTTTATAAGATCTGTTGGGTTATGTGGATCACTTTAATTAATTTTGTTTCATTCTTAATTACCTAAATGGTCCAGATTGGAATTAACCATCTGTTTTGGGGATGTTTTCATTTAGCAAATATAAAAGTGTATTAATGCACTTAAAAAACAGTGGTACGTGGCATTAGGTTTTTTCTGAATGCAGAAAATTTTCTTCTGCTTAAAACAATTGTTTTTTATTTACTGATTATAGCTAATACATGAAAAGATAGGATTCTGAGAAAATCAGAGATCACTACCCATATGAATATGGATTCAAACTTAGAAATTAGGTTTACAGCTCCAATTTATTGCAGATCCCGTTTTAGGCATATTGTGCAGATAAACAGCGATTTGTTCAACCATAATTCAAAGCATTCATGTTATGGTTAGATTTTGGCAAAATTTCATGACAGATGCACTAAGTTGGCTGCCGCCTTTCACATCATCTCCAATGAGTTCCATTCCATTGTCCCATGCCCTAAAAATCCAATGGGACATGTAAAATTTCTAAAAATCTTTCTAGATGTAGAAAGACTTCACATCTTTTATGTATATTATACTGTATTATTTATTTTATATATTTCTCTCCACCAACAAATTATTTTCTTACTCATGTCAACTTATTCTATAATTGACATTCACCATTGGAGACAAATTATATTTATTTATTTTCTCCACAACATACATATCAAAATAGACATTGTACCATTGAAGATGCTCTCATTTAGTCCTCATCAATTTCGATACATTAATTAAGGGGGGGCTGTAAGGAGTTAAAACTGATTAAAACCAGATTTGATTGGATCAGTTTAACTCAAAAATCAATTGCACTATCCTCAATATTATCAATATAAGTAAATAATATTAATCATATTTTTTCTTCATCACATCAACTCTAATTCACTATTTATCCACTCATATATTTTAACTATCAATCCTTTTTATCATCTTTTATATTTTTACATCACATCAACTTTAATTATTATTACATTTTAAATATTATTTAATTTTCTATCCTCACTTTAATTATTACATTTTAAATCTTATTTAATTTTCTACCCTCAGTCTGACGTGCCTGGATAATTTTTTAGACTTCATTTATCTTTTCTTTTTTCGTTGATATCACATGAAACAAGAGGAAATAGGTTCAGATGACCTTCCCTTGAAGGTGCTTTTTAAATAATATTTACAAGATGAAAAATTGGCTAAATAACCCTTGACCAAAAGAGTCTTATAAAACATAAAACAAAAATCCATAAAACAAAATAAAAAGATATCTATACCCTTAAATTCTGTTTTTTGAGGAAAAAACTCTAAAAAATCATCAAAAAATAAACCAAAAATGCTTATGTTCCAAATATTTGGAAAATGAGTAGGATAAATAATACTCCTCTGTGGGAAAATATTAAAAAAATCGAAAATAATCAAGAATAAATTCTTGAAAAACATGAAAAAACAAATAGAAATATTGAATTTCTTGATACTCTACTCTCAGAAATCTTTGACATCGCAACAAAAGCAGATAAAATCATTGAAAATTTTAATAAAATAAATAAAAATAAATTAGAAGAAAACTTAGTAAAGTTAGACGAAAAAATTCCATAAATTGAACCGTAAACTAAACGGGCCAGGTCCAGTCCTGTATCAAGGCCCGGCCCGCCCCACCTTAATTTTTTTATGATGTAAATTATATATAATATTTATATATATATAAAGAGGTTGTTGGAAAAATACATTAATAGAAAGTTTGACCAAATAAATATAATGTTTGACTTACTATTAATGGAAAGTTCAAAAAAACACATGTGAATATTTAGTAACAAAATCTAAATCCTATTTTTTTGGTAACAAATTTGGAGATTCTTATGCCAAAATTTGAATCCCATATTTTTCGTATCATATTTTGTTTTTTTACTAAAATTTAAATCATATCTTTTTTCGTAACAATTTTGGAGATTCTTATGCAAAAAATGTGTCAATTATTTATGAAAACAATTCTAAATACAAATTAATTTAAAAACCGTGCAAATTAGATACAAATTTAGGAAGCAAATAGTTGTATAATTCTTAACCAATTCTAACAATCTTATTAAATAATTTTTTCTTTCAAAAAAATTGTGTAAATTGGATAAATCCACGTGCAATTTTTATTTTAAAATAAAACTGATATTTGGACGGGATGTACATTCAAAATTGTGTCCACATATTTTGGTAACAAAAGCTGTTCATCATTGATATTAAAAGTCACCTTATCCAATTATTTAGGAAAAAATATGTGCAACTTTTCAAAATTTAAATGCATCGATTTTTTTGGATTCTTATGTTTTTTCTTAACCATGTTTTACCGAGATTTTGGTAAGTTCATATTATTTTTTTTTGGTTAAGTTCATATCATTTTCTTTAAGATATAGATAGTTGCATAAACATTAACAATTTATTTTAATTTTTTATTAGAATTATTTTTAATTTAATTTGTTTGGTACAAAAATTGGTGCAATGTTAGGAAAATTTGGTTGCATTTTTAGAAAAAATAGATGATTTTTTTTATTTGGTTTAAAAAAAAATCGGATCAATTTGTTTGATAAAAAAATCAGTTTATTGGTAGGAAAATCGGTCATTTCTAGGACTAACTAATGATTCTTTTCAATTTTTGTTAATTGAAATTTAGAATTATATTTAAAATAAATAATGGGTGAAAATCTCTAAAAAATTTTACTTTTTTTTCTACTTTAATTTTGTTCAATAAATAAGATCCTTTAATTTTTTAAAAATTTGTTAACTAATAACTAATAATATGTAATTTTGGATAACTTCGAACACCTATGTAGTACTTTACGTGCTAAAGAATCAAATCAATAATGTTGTACATACAGAAGTATTTAATATCTTTTCAAACATATAAATTTCATATTCATGAAATTTTTAATGGCATGAGACAATTTTAATACAAAAATATCTTTTAAAAAATATATATAATAGTAAATGCTTCCGTGCATCGCACGGGCACCGTATTAGTATATAGTAAATTAAGAATAGGGAATTGGGGTTTAGGTTTACAATTTTTGTATTTGCTCGCACAGCCGTTCCTCACCTCACTCTGTCTCACTCTCAGTCTCTGTCTCTCTCTCACGCCCGCCGGCTGTCGCCTCTCTTCTCACGCTGACGGCCCGTCACCTCTCTTCTCCTGTGACCCCGTCGCTTCTCCTCAGTCCTCGCGCACGTTGCACTCTCGGCGTCTCGGTGCACTTTCAGATTTAATGGTAATTTCCCAACTTCTTTTTAATCGGACAGATGGCTAAAGATATCAACAGTAGTAGTGAGATTATCTTCATTTCCCACCATTTCATAGTAATTAGATCGAATCTTCTTCTTCTTCTTCTTCTTTTTTTTTTTTTCCTGAGGGACGGGTATATATTCTTTGTTCGATAGGATTTCCTTGTCGTTTTTACTTTGGAATTGGAGGTGTGCAGATGGAGGGAAAACAATATTCATGGCCTCCGACAATTCATCTTTTGAATGGCGAGATCCTATTTATTTATTTTGTCTTATGGATGTTCTACTGTTTTAATTTGGATGTGTTTGATTGATACTCCATTTCTATTCGGTTTTCGGTTTATGTAATGGATAAATCGAATTTTCGGTTAACCGAAAATTCAGTCGGTTCGGTTCAGTTTTAACCGAATGTGTACCCCTACTAAACACTCATTTTAAAGTTTGGGTTGAAAAAAGATAATTGATTGATAAAATTGGAGGGTATGCTAGTCCCCAATCGGAAGAATCCTATCAACTTTTGTGCAAATTCTTGTGTTAGTCGGGTCAACCCATCATACTTTTTATATAAAAATGTATAGTTATGTTATGAAATGTCAATACTTTTGTTTATATTATTTTTTAGAGTATGATAGTTCAGTTTGGAAGTATGGATATCTGTTGAAAAAGTATGATGAATACACAACCATTTGGTCTGCGTTCTGCCTAACAGCAACTACTTTTGATATTCTTGCCTTAGCTGTAGTTCCAGTGGTGTGGCTTTGAGTTTCAGTTCATCCTTTCCCTCCATTTTTCATTCATTTTTTTTTTTCCTTTTCTCTATCCTTATGTCTTCAGCAAACTGCTTGTTTCAGAACAAAACAATCATGCGGACAACCCAAACACCTTACAAGACACCAATGGAATCCGAATCCGAATCGGACGATGAAGACGAGGCCGTCCAGCTCAGCCAGCCCTCGAAAACTCCCGCGAACGACAAAACGGGCCTGCTCGAAAAGCTCGCTGACATCAGCTGGCCCGAAACAGCCGAATAACTGCACAGGCTCTCGTTCGACATCGACCAGGATCAGAAGGTAGACGTGAATGACGACTTGAACCGCGAGCTTGCCTTGTACACGCAAGCGCTCGAGGGCGCCAGGCTGGCATTCGCGAAGTTCCAATCTGCGGCGGGCCCGCCCTTCTTGAGGCCCGCTGATTACTATGCTGAGATGGTGAAAACCGATACCCACATGGAGAAAGTGAAGGGCCGTCTCCTGGTTGAGAAGAAAAAGGCCGAGGAGTCCGAGGAGAGAAAGAAGGCCCGTGAGAATAAAAAACTGGCTAAGGAAATCCAGGCCCAAAAGCAGAAGGAGCGGGCCCAACAGAAGAAGGAGGATATTGAGTCCGTTAAGAACTGGAGGAAACAGAGGAAGGAGAGTGGGTTTGCTGTGGGTGAGGATGGTGACTTTAGTCTGGCTTTTGAGGATGGGAAGTCTTTTGAGAGGTCCAGTAAGAAGAGGCCTGGGGTGGGCCCGGGGGACCGTTTTGGCGGGAAGGGTAAATTTGGAAAGGGGATGAAAGGGTCTGGGAAGAAGAGGGAATTTAGGGATTCGAAGTTCGGGTTTGGTGGGAGAAAGGGGTTGAAGAAGCAGAACGCGGCCGATACCACAAATGACTTTAGGGCTTTTGGTAAGAGTAATGGCCCAAAGAACAAGAAATAGAAAGTGTGAGGGTTATTCTTTTTTTGGTACAAAGAGAGAGGCTAAACGCCTAAGGATTAGAGATCAACACATGTCTTGGATAAGTGACCCCGATAAGATCATGATGTAACCAGTGCCGGGCCTCATCCGGCGGAATATCTAACGGTTGAAAACCACCTGGACTTCTTGCCGCAACTCTAGCCATGCAATCCGCAACAAAATTGGACTCCCGATAGCCATGTAGGACCTTCACCGGCCATTGCCTCTGCAACAGCTCTCTTATGGCCTTGACTAATGCACTATGGATTCCCGGCTCCACATTCTCACCTTGTAACATTGATAAAGTACAACGACTATCAACCTCCGAGATGACGAAACGGTATCCCAAGTTCCAAGCTAGTTGAAGTCCTTGAAAAACTCCCCAAAGTTCCGCTCCCGTAATCGAACAAAATCCAATATTCATAATGAATCCCTTAACCCACCGGCCACAATAGTCACGTAATACCCCTCCCGCACTAGCCATACCCGTCGTCGGGTTAAAAGAGCCATCAGAATTTATTTTAACCCAACCCTCAGGCGGGGGTGACCATCGCACTTGCACCAATTCTCGGCCAATACCAAATCCACCCAACTTTCGTTCTCCCATTATCGCTGCAGAAACATTACTCCTCCAATGCACTATCTCTCCTAGAACCCCGTCCACACTAAAGTTCTCTCCTTTAAAAATTTTTCGATTTCTTGCATTCCAAACACGCCACATTGCCAGGCCAAATGTCAGATCCCAATCCGAAATCTCCAGTTTTCGAGCGTTTGTTAGATTATCGATCAACCAGTCCTCCAACTCCAAAGTACAAAACCACGTCCACTCGGCCCTGGGTACCAACCGTCTCCAGACTCCTGCCACACGAGGGCAATCCCTCAAGACATGTAGCAAATTCTCTTCTTCCGTTATACAAAAATCACACTTATTTTCGCTTGACAACTTTCATCTACACTGTTCGGCATTAGTGAGTAATCTCTTCCTCCCAACCAACCACAAAAAATTTCGGACTCTTTGTGGTCCACTCCAAGTCCAAATCACTTTCCATAACGTTTTTCAATTGACCATCCCCTATGTAGTAAGCTCTCATAAGCCGATTTCGTTGTGAACTTACCATCATGTGACAAACCCCAATACATCTTGTCTTCACTGGCTTCCCCACGCGGAGGCAAAGTTGCCGCCACACGCAAGCGGGCCGTTGCTGGAAGAAGATGATAAAAGCGTTCCCAGTTCCACGAGCCCCGCTCATCCACAAACGCATCTACAGTAGCATATAATATATCTTCTGGATTTTAATGACATGGAATGTTCAAGGAGCGGGCTCGAGGAGCTGAAGATTGATCATCAAACGGAAAATCAGACAAGAGGAATGTTCAACACATGAAAAGCTCTTCAACACATGAAAAGCTTTCCCTCTGAATTTTATTAATGATTATAATGACATGGAATGTTCAAGGAGCGGGCTCGAGGAGCTTTAAGCGAGCTTTCTCGACAATTATACAAAGTTATAACCCCGATATTGTGGCACTGTTGGAACCCAGAATAAGTGGCAAGGAGGCAGACTACTTCATCCAGCAGAGTGGTTTTAGCCATTCGTTTAGGGTAGAGGCCGATGGCTTTAAGGGAGGAATCTGGATCCTTTGGACGGGAAAGGTGGAGGTTGCGATACTGAGATGTAACCGACAATTCGTTCATACTAGATTAAGGATGGATGGTGATATTTTTCTAATGACATTTGTGTACGCATGCTTTTCATCTGGATTTCCGACGAAGGTCAAAGTGTTGAAGATTGATCATCAAACGGCAAATCAGACAAGAGGAAAATTCGCGAGGCTAGCGGTTCAACTAGACCTTTCGAAGCCTTTATTGACGAAGTTCTTCATTATGGGGAAGCCGCAGAAAATTGAATACGAGAACCTACCCGACATATGCTTTTCATGTGGGCTCTATGGCCATACAAGCACAGAATGCCCGGTTAAGGCGGGCACTACCAATCGGGCAGGACAGAACGGGAATGGAAATCATGATAATGCTGGGAACGGATCTGTTGGTGACAGGAGGAAAAATGCGGTGACCCCGACTGGAAACGACGAGTGGATTGCTGCAAAAAGAAAAGCAAGAGGATCAATTCCAGAAAAGTTACGAGGTACGGGATATGCTTCCAAATCACAGGCCACTACTAATGCAACTGGTTCCAGGTTCGAAGCTTTGAATGAGATGACAGAGGAGGAAGAGGACGAAATTGTGGAATTACAAATGGAAGTTGAGGAGTGTGTAGACAGTGTAAATGTCTCGGATAATAGTTCGGGTAAAGGGATAGTCAAAGCGAGAGAGGAGAGGCGGGCTATGACAAACAAGGGGAAGTCTTTGAAGGATATGGGACGGGCGAGTAGGAATACGAGTAATCAACTTAAGGCGGACAAAGTGGTGATAGCTGGGAAGGAGAATAACGAGAAGGAGGCCGAACCAGAGAGATTAACAAGGCGTGCAGCCAGAGATGAGTTGTTAGAACTTCTAAGCTCTCAAGGACAAACTGTGGTTAGGGGGGCTTCGGACTTAGACCCGACAAAGCATAGTGTGGTCCATGTGCTTGATAACCCTATCTTTCATGACAACAATGTGTCAGGGCCTGTAGGGTTTGCTGAACACCAAAGCGCGGATATGGTAGTGGATGGTTTGCCAGGAGTGAGTCACAAAGACCTTTCGATACGAAATTCGAAAGGCTATGAAGATGGGGACTCATTATGCGGCATGGACGAAGAATTGGAAAATGATGTCTCCGACACTGGGTGTTGAGCTGATCGCACTTTCCCTCTGAGGGTTATTTTAATGGCTTGTTCTGTGGCTGGGTTTATTTTAGTTTAAGTGAGTTTATGCTTTTTTATTCCTTTTTTGTCTGATAAGAATGTTTTTTTAGAAATTATTTCATGTTTCTGAATTTTGGGCGTCTTGCAGATTATATTTTTGTAGCTTGAATTTTCATTTATTTTTTTTAATCTTTTGTGCTCTCCTTACTTTAGCAGTTGCCTCTCTCTCTTTATGTTAGTCTGGTTTTTTGTATTGTTTGACATTTGCGTTCGTGGGAACAAACCAGAAGAAGTATAGGTTGGCGCCAGATGATCTGTTTGCTGTGTCCTGTTTCTGACTCATGTTAGACATTTCAAATTGGGTGCATGACTTTTTTTTTTTTCCCACAAAAGCCATAAATTTTATTCAAGAACTCAACAAAGGATTACAACAGGATTACAACCGGATAGTCCACTGACTACAAAGATAGTACATAGGCAACTAGAGAACTAACACACGGGAAGGCAAAAATTACCTCCCCTCCACAGCCACTTTGGCTAAAAACTTACAAGACGGACAAGCAGAAACATTAAAAACAAAAGAACAAACCGCCAAAAGAGTCTAACAAAGCAGAACAAACCGCCAAAAGAGTCTAACAAAGCATAAATATCATCAGCAATAATGCCATAGGTACAGTTGAAAGGATCTTGATTCTTGAGTCCTGCAGCTAGTCCTTTATCATCAGTGCAGCAACTGATAGAATGAAGCTTGCACTGTACATCTATTTCAAGTAGCCATCTAACCGAATGAAGTTTTCAAGCATGCCCCTAAGTGTGTATTTTGTTCAGAGTATTTCTGATTGATCCATGGTTAATTCACGGCAAACTTTGAATTTGGGGACATAACGACTTCTAACTTTGATAATCTTGTTTAACACATATACTGTAGATAACCAACAGTGTTTAAATTATCCACTAAGGTGTCAATATCAGAAACTCTTAAACTGATGTTATCTGCCAAACTGTATAGCTCTTGAGTAAAAAATGATCCAAATGGCAAATAGTGAGATATCTTCAGTTTTCTCCACTTGCATTTATTCCATCAAAGTCTAGATAAAATTGCGAAGAATTAAGTTCAGAGATCAAGAACTACTTACAGATATAGAGAAACAATCTTTTTGCTTCGATTCAGATTGTTTATTCAAGGCACTTAAGAATCTCTTGGCTTCTTTCTGTTGACTCATTCCCCCACTACGCCCAAAATCGACAAGGCCATTCTCGTCAACATATTCGTCGTATAACGACTCTTTCATTATTTCAACATCCTGCACAACTCATGCATTGAATTCGAGGTCGAACAACCTTCCTCGAGAGACAGAACCCGAGGTCGGGATTTTATTCCGCACTCGG